TTCCATTTGCTGTTTCTTCTCTCACACCATTTGCTGACTAATTTAAACCTAGAAAATAACATCAGCATTTCAAGGAAGGTTTGGTTTTTTTTTTAATTTGATAGCTTTTCTTCATTATTTCCTGCCTCCCATCAGAACATGTAAATGCAAACAGCGTTTCCGCAATGCCGGGGCAGCTTCACCTGCGTCAGCTGAAGGATGTGTTTCTTCTTCACACGCAATGTGCCACCTCCCTCCTTCCTCCTCCAGCACGTCTCAGTCAACGCGACATCTTCCAGCTCAGCCTACATGTGCGTGTGCACACACTTATTAACTTTTGCATCTTAATTGAAAGGGCGGCGTACGTTTAAGCCTTAATAATGACATCCTTTCTTCCCAAGCAGTCTTTAATCTTGAAACGAAGCGGTGAACAACGCCAGCAGAGCAGGGTTGCTGAGCGAGGCGCCTGGCACACGTGCCGATGGGAGCAACCTGCCAAGAAATGAGTTTTTAGGGTTCGGATTCGAAATGTGCACCTGACGGTCCAGGGAGCGGAGCGCTGGCGGAGAGGGGGAGGCAATGGGAGCCCTACGGGTGATGAAGAGGAGGATTTGATGAGTAGGAGCTGGGTGTGAGGTTTCTTCCAGAGCTATTAAATAGCATAAAAGACTAATCTCCTTTTAATATGGTGCCCTGGCATGTCTCTGTGTGCTGGTCCATGGGCCACCCCGTGCATTTGTCTTTATCTCTTCCTAGCCTGGCTCGTTAATACAAACCGACGGGGTTTGTGGGCTGGGGCTTTCCCTTGCCATTTGTCCTGAGAATAAGACAGTTCAAGTCTCTGGATGCTTTTATAACACAGAAGAGAGGAATACAAAGCCGCTTCCCTTGCGCCGGCATCGGAGTTGCCAGACTCTGAGGGTCTACAGCGGTGAAGCAGCAATTGCAGCTATAGCAGAAATATTGCTTTATGGCCAGTGGTGTGGCTTAAAAATCCCTCTAAGCCTGACATATCTGTGCCTCGGTGCTTCAGTGCTGAAAGCTCAAAACATTCATAAAAACAACACTCGTGAATAACGTCGGTGGGTTTGCAAGCCCAACCTTTGCGTTTCGGCGGGGATTAGGTCCTTGGCTTTCAGAGATGCCATTTACAGAGGTTCAAAGGTTGAACGAGAAACCAGGGCTTTGATGGATGGAGTGCAGCGGGTTATTGGTGAGGAGTCTTCCAAGGACGCTTGCTTTTGGCAGCCACACTGTGATAGGTGAGAAGCTGGGAAAAAATCAGTAAAAAGAAGTGAACCCAATACAGAGAAACACGTGCCATGCTTAGAGATGCTGTTGTTTCCTTATTTACTGCTTGTCTGTTCTAAAAAAATAGAATAAAAAAAGGAGGAAAAAAGGGAAAAAGAGACAAAAAAGGAAAAAGGGAGGAGAAAGGGGGAAAAAAGGAAAAAGGGGGAAAAAAGGGAAAAAGGCAAAAGAAATAAAAATTTTAAAAAGGGGAAAATAAAAAGTCCTTCAAAAAAGTGCAGTCAATGTGCACCGCTAATCAACCAAAGCCCTGCCAAGCAGATCTTTTGTCAGATCGTCTGCCCGAAATCAAAACCCCGGACTCAGCAGGCCCCGGTACCGGCGGTTCTGCCTACGAAGCAGGAAAGCGCAAAGCCCCCGCTTCCCGCGGCTTTGTTAAAAAGCCGTGGCCACACCAGCCCCGTGTCCCCCCCCATCCAGCTGCTATATAGCAGGGTGTCCGACGTTCCTGGTCCATCGCGGTTGTGGTTTGGCTCCTGATTTTTTCCGGGCTTGGACAGCATCCAGCAGAAAATGTCTCAGTACTCGGGAAAAGTAAGTAACGACCCAACCGCTTTCCTTTCAGCCTGAGGCCAGGGAGCCCCAGCACCCTCCGGGTTGAAGGAGCGGGTTAAGACCATATCCCGGAGGATGCGATGGGAGTGGTGACACCGGGAGCAGGTTTGGTAGCGGCACCGGGGAGGGGGGCGGCCG